AATAAGTTTTAGAGGATTCTTAAAACAAAAATCGTGAAAAAGTGACATGGTTTTTTCAGCTCAGAAAAATATATTATTTAAATTGCATGTACGCTACAAGTTTAATTAACTTCGTAACTTTTTTCTTCCTTGCAGAAAGTTTATGTAATCGCTACATATACATTTGTTAGATAATAAAATGTGACGTGATAAGAAAAAGTGAGCTTGCGTGACGTGATAATAATGCATTTCTTTTGTATTTTTCTCTCGCTACTTTTTCTCTCACACACACATTCTCTCTCTCTCTCTCTTTCTCTCGCTCTCTCTCACTTGTAACAGGTAAATAGGAGCTAGGAATTACGCGAGACTTTTGCGTTAGTTGTTGCTCTGTGTTTGCTTAATTAATGTCGGTCTCGTATCGAATCTGCGAACGATGTACGCCATCCACGCCACGTGAGATACCTCGGATTTTTTACATGAGGAATATGAGATTATGCACTTTAAAGTCTGGACTAGGATTTATTTTTATTGCAAAAACTTTAACATCGTTATTTCATAAAAGATGCAAGCTGTGAGATTATACAAGATAATCCAGAAACACACACACACACACACACACACACACACACACACACACACACACACACACACACAACGGATGTCCTTTTAATAAATTTTTTTACTTTAATGACAATTTATTGTAACTTTTTAATAGAAAGCGCGCGCTTCAAATAAATATCCTGTTGCAGCAAAGTTGATCTGAAATTAACGGGAGAGTGTATTTTTGTTGCTTCCAAAGCTTAATTCGCGAAAAATTCTTCTCGAAAATTTTTGGTACTTAAAAAGAATCGATTCTAAATTTGTAGTTAAAAAGACATCTGGTACTTTTTTTGTATTACTTATTTAATTGAAGTATCAATTAAATCTTTTTAAAATTGGCTCTCACGATTTTAAATTTAAATATAGTTGCACTCTTCTAACGATATTTTCGAGGAAACTTTAGAGAAATTAAACCGTTCGCTCTCATCGGCGAAGAGTGTCGGTCAAGGAGGATTAAGCAAGGAAGAGTTCACTCGGGACTCGATCTGGAGCGCAACTTAATTAATGCGCAAATGAAATTGCAAACACTTTTGCGGGTTAACAGCTTCGTGCGTGCGTGCGTGCGAAAATAAACACTAGAAAGTTACGATACTAATTAATTAATTAATTAATATTTTAATATCGGTGTCTTGCACATTTAATCTTCCTCTTTTTAAGTTATACTTTATTTACTTCCACTGACATCCTTTCCTTAAATTTTTTATTAATCTAAGTTTCGTGTCTTATACGCACGCCTTTTACAAACCAAAAAATAGAAGGAAATAAAATAGAACAAATTTGAACTTCTTTGTTGTTCTCATTTCCGATAATTGAAATGTAATCGATGAATTGCAGCAATTAAAATAAATTTATCATTATTTTTGCTAAATTACTCTACACTTGCTTTTTTTATCGCATATGTCTGAAATTTTTCTTCTAAATTGTCAATAGTAATCAGCAAAGTAATATTATTTTGATATTAGTAAAAATAATAAAAAATATAATAATATTAATAATAAAAACAGCGATTTATGACTTTGTAAAAGTGACTGTTGCTCAAAAACTGCGGACGCAAACTAAAAATATGCTTGATAATCTGGAGACATTTCATTAGTTTTGTTTACTAAGCAATATGTTTGCTTTCGAAGCAAATGTTTTCACAGTGCAAACAAGACTATCACGAATGTTTCAAAGCGTTATCGAGTGTTTCGCGATTAGTCTCTCTCTCTCACTCTTTCTCTCTCTTTCTCTGTCGGAAGGCGGGAAATGGATTGGGGTTGTGTATCAGGTGTCTCACGCGTTCCCGGTTTTGTCGTCTCATCTTTTCGCGCGGCGCGTTCCCCGATAGCATTCGATTTTAAAAGCGATAAGGCATTGTCGGATATGTCAGCTGAGATCTTCGAGACGTTTCTGGGAGATTTGCGGTAACATCGAAAGCTTTACAAAAATATCTCATCTTATTTTAATCTGTCAAGTCCCCGCGAATCGCTTTCCGTGATCCTCGAGCCACCCCTCGTCCCTTCTCGTCTTTCGAGTCCGGCGCTTCGATCCTTTCGACAATTCATATTATTCTCGTCCGAAAGGAAAGCGCAAACCCGACTCTTTTGTTTACCCCGTTAATTCATCTTATTCTTAGTTCTCCTTTCGCAATACATTTTCGGCTTTTCTTTTTTCACTGCGACTTGGTGATAAAAGCGACTTATCATGCTCCCGTGCGTGCTACAAAAAGAATAGCGAAGAAAAAGATTTAAGTGTGCTCCGGGAAATCCATCTCAACTTATCGTTATCCTTCACGTTCTTTATCTTTTTTTTTTGCGACAAGACGATGCCAGCTGAAGCTGCCGTTGTCGTTGATCGGTATAATTAAGCGCAAACTTTTTGGCACATTTGCTGAAATCTTAGGTCATTAAACCCTCACAACATGATGCCTTCCCGAATAAATCCCTAAATTGATTTTTTCTTGATAATATTCTTTCCTTAGTGAGTAATTTAATAGGATGTGAATTGTACTACAGAAAAAAACTTTTGCAAGTTAAACATGTTACAAAAATAATTAAGAAATATTTATTTTTCAAATAGTTTTTCAGACAAATAGTTTAATCTAATTTAATAAAAATCTAATTTTTATTTAAAGTTTCAGATATTTTTTAATATAAAGAATTTTGAATTATGATAAATTGTTAGTTTCCATTGAAAATTTGTCCTGATATGTCAAAAATCCGTTATTATAATTGAGGCGTAGTTGAGATATATATTTTTTATGCAATTATCATGCATCGCATCATGTGATAAGGGATTAATTGCCTGGATATTATGATTAAATATTTTCCTTCGCTCGCTCGTGGCTCGATTTGGCATTCACACAACTGCACAAGTGCTCGCACGCGTATATTCTACAAGTATTTTAACATTTTTTGTTTTAATCTCGGAAAAATCGCGGACAATCGAGCCGTTCTTCTTCGCAAACGTGTGATTATCGTATTAAAATACTCGCGCTTTTAACGCCTATCATTATGCTATTAATCACGCTCTTCGCTCTCTTCCTCTATATTTCTCTTACATATATACGAAGATAATACTTACAATTAGTAATTTATATATCTTTGAGATTTTCAGCTTTTCGGGCGCGTTGAAATGCATTTATACTCGTCGGAATCATGCAAGAACGGGTTGCATCTATCGATAATATCTTGCTATCCTTGAGTGAATTTTTTTGACTCGAGGAAAAAACTGCTGCTTATTTTTTTTTTTTTAATATCATTTAAAAAAGGATAATCTATAAAGCGACTTACTCTCTTTCGCTTGTCAGGTACAGATAAGTTAGATTTGCATGAGAATTCGCGAAAATGTGATAAGGTTTCAAGATAATTTCGAATTAAAAAGAATTTAATATAAAAAATTACCTTTTTATTTAAAATATATTTAATTATTGCTTTTTTTTATTATAAATGTTTTTTCCCAGAGTCAAAGATTTTTCGCATGGTCCTCCGCGATTTTTCCGTCGCTTGAATTCGAACTCAATCAGGCCCTTACTATATGTGTGTATGCATCTCTAAGTTTAGTTTCTCTTTGAAAATACCGCGCATACGCTCTTATTATTTTTCTATTTTCTTTTTACTCTTTAAATTATATATTCTCTCTCTTTCTTTTTCT